ATATTATTTTTGTTTCCATTTCTTTAATTTCTGCCATGATCCTAATTACTTCTTTCCATCCACTGATTGGATTGCTTTTACTTTCCCAAGGCTCTAAGGTAATCAATAAGCTATCTATTTACAATGTCTCTGATTTAATGTAGCCACTCATAATTGTATACTTTGTTCTTAGAACTGCTTTCATTATAAAATGTTTCCATTTTCATTAATTTCAAGGATTTTTTAATTTGCTTCTTGATTTCTTCAGTGAGTTTGGGCATGCTCTGCAGTTTCTTTAATTGTTGATTTCTAGTGTGATTTCATTGTGGCAGATACAATATAACAATTTTCAATTGCTCTTTTTTTTTAGATTTACTTACTGTAATATCACATGATTTATTTTAAGGAAAATTTCTCAGGCTACCGAGGAGACTTTGCATTCTGCATGTTGGAATGAAATGTTCTATAAATGTTTGTTTGGTCTCCTTGTTCTGAAATGCTTTCTAACTCAAATATCTGATTAATTTTTGTTGGGATGAGCAGTCTAATGATAGTAAGGTACTAAGGTCATACATTATTATTTTGATGAGTTTAATCTGTGTCTTTGTGTCTTATACTTGTCTTTTTTTTGATATTCAGATGCACTCGTGCTGGTGCTATGTTTAGAATTGTGAAGGCCTTTTGATGAATTGTGTCCTTAATTCGTGTGACAGGACATCCTTTATGTCTTCTAATTCTGATTTGAATGCTCTTTTCTCAGATACCAGGGTCTTAGAACCTGTTTTTTTTTTCCTTTTGACTTTTTTTTTAATCATGGAAAGGTTTTTTCTTTTCCTTCAATTGTGATAGATAGTTTTGTTGGTGATAGCAGTATAAGTTTCAGGGGTTAGCTTTCAGAGCTTGAAACACATCATTCTAAGACCTCTTATTTAAAAATTGTTTTTCAGAAATCTGCTCTTATTTTGAGTGGTGTGACTTTGTGTTTCTTTCTTGCAGACTTCAGCATACTTTCTTTGACCTGTACATTTATTATTTGACTATGATAAGATATGTGGGAGAATCTGCTCTTTTGAATTTGATGTTCTAAATAATCTCTGTACCTGGATTGACATCTTTCTCTAGACTTGGGAAATTTTTTTCTATGATTTTATTGAAAATGTGTTTTATGGTTTTAGCATAAACTTTTCTTTTATAATTCATAGATTAGATATTTTATGTATCTCACAGATCTCGACTATTCTTTCATACTTTCTTATTTATTCATCATTGTATGTGTGGAGGTCAGAGGACAACATACAGGAGTTGGTTCCCTGCTTCTACCATGTGGGTCTAAGGACTGAGGTCAGGTTGCTAAGCTTTATCAAGCTTGTTTATCAATTGAGCCATCTTTTCAGTCCAGAAATGTCAATTTTGATAATCCCTTCATGCAAATAGTCTCCTGGATAGAATTTATAAAACAGTTATAACATAGAACTATTCCTCAAGCATATCAAAAATATATATTTCATTTTCGTGAATCACCTCTTTAAAATAGTGTTTTATAATTTAGACATTATAATGGATTTTCTATATATGTCACAGATTTCTTTACCTATGTCCTATGCATGCACAACTAGCACAGTATAGAAATGAATGGTTCCTAATTATTTTACTTAAAAAAATAAGATCAAAAGTATGTCATAAATTTAAAGCAAAATTGGGTCCCAATAATTGCTTAGGTGATTTTTAATTTATAGCAATTTGGGGTGCTACATCTGTGAAGACTACAGTACCAAAGTAAGCATGAGGGAGGAGGGGAGCAAACCTCTCCACACAAGATTTATGGATGATTTAGGGGAAAGGCACCTACTGTTTCTAGAGGGTTCTATCAGGGTGTTTTCCCTCCACTTGGCCTTTGCTTTCATTGTTGAGGGAAGCTGTATTAAAATAACCATGTCCTTTCCAGATTGTTCTGACTAGTTTAGGAGTCTCACAGTGGCTTCATTTGCAAGATTCCTGGGTAGGCCCTCTTAGATAATCTCTGCCAGAGGGAAATCAAAGCAAATTCTTAGAAGCAAAGAGACCAGGGCCCTGCAGCCCAGCTTCCCTCTGACCTGTTGCTTGTTCTCAGCCATTCTGAAAACAGCTGAACTGGGTGGTAGGGGAGTAAAGTGGATCAATATTTCTCAGCACACATTTAAACCCTATGCAAATGGTTATCAAGAGCAAACAAATGAAAGATGCAACACAATTTCTGAGAAGGCTGTCCATCCAGCGCTATCTGGAGAGTGCCTTACAGCTGTTTGCCTTGATCTCTTAGAGGCAGCTATCTACCATTTCTTTTCACACTTTGTTCACACTCTACACATCTCTCAGTGATATCTATGCTTTAACTTTCCAATTCCCCATATAACCTCTACTATATTGTAAGAAGTAAACCAAGAAAATATAAAGGTGAACATAATGCTTAACCAAGCACATCTCCATGTCCCTCCAACACCAGCCACACTCATCACACAAGGGCCTGGACTCATCTCATTCTCTTCGAACATCCCTTGTCCTGTGGCCTCTGCTGGAGCACAGAGATTCAGCGTCCTCCATGTTTCTGTTTTAATGGTCTTGTGTCACGTGAGCATTTCACCCATCCACATTTTTATTCACTTTCTCTTGTTTGATCAAAATGTCTTTGTCTCCAACAATTGCTTCTTTGATTTATTTTTCAAGAAAAGCCACATTTTCTACATATAAGTCCTCTTTGAACATGTCTTCCACACAAAAATACATGATTCCTGTCTGTGTCATGCTTTCCTTCCACAGTGCATCTTATATACATACATAGGTTTTAAAACCAATACTAGTACTCTGAAGTGAGAGGTATGGTCCAATTCATGTTTGACTCTGCTAATGTTACTTAGTATTTACAAAAGTAATTAACATAAGCAATTAATTTCCACATCCTCTGGATAAATTCTTAGGATAGGATATTCAGAACAATATAACTCCTGACAAACGTTTCCTAATATCATCTCTGTTCTATGTTTATTTTTTATACCAGACAGCTATCTACTGATGTGTGTGTTTTGTTCTAATGAAAGGTGCCTCATTTAATTTTTGAAAACCTTATCCTCTCAAAATGCAAAAGTGTTTTCAAAGTCTGTGTTCCCTTCCAGACAGCTGTATAATAATTAGAGGACTTTTACAAATTGTTTGATTCTTGCTCAACACAACTCAATGGCGCTTGCTATGTCCCCATTAGAAAAGAGATTAGAAATCCCTCCTGGAGGCTCTGAGGATCTCGTGCGTTCTGTTCCATGGGTGGAACAATAACACACTGCTGGAAAAGTCCCGCTGTCATCCTGAAGTTGAAACAGCATTGTTTGGAATTACCTGCAGCTTTCTTGCACTACTGGAGAAAAACAGCACAGAGTGCACTGTACATAGAAAAATCATCCAATATGGTCAATTTTCATCACTTGGCTTTGATGTATTATTTTATATCCAAGCCCCTCCCTGTGATTCTTAAAGTGTCTCTGTTATTGCAAGCATGAGAGACTTTTCTAGGTGAAAATGTAGAAAAATTATGTTCCACATTAAGGGAAGCATAATTTGCTTGTTTTGAAATGTTTTTGTCCTCTAAACATACGCACTTGAATTACATCCAAAACGGATTGATTGTCATGATTGAGGAGCACCTGCTGTGTGTGTTACTACCAGAGAGGAGGAAAGAATGTACTTAAAGAGGCATCCATTTGTTTGGAAAATGACAGAGTCTTCCATAGCCGCTACAGTGAAATCTCTGGCCTATATGACAGAGGGCTGAGCAGGGCTCTTCAGCACACAGGCAAATCAGATTACACAGAGCAATCTTCAAAGAGCCACCATTCAGTGTTAAAAGTATTCATGTAAACACCATGAAAAATTCTGGAGAAACAAGCTTATCTCTTTAAAAGAGTAAGCCTGGAATTACATACTGGCTGTATTACAGTCTTTACATAAGTGCCATGTGCATCCCTGTGTAGTGAACCATTAATAGGTGTAACTCTGTAACCATCAAATGAACGTGGCAATTTGAAGGTCAAATTTAATAGTCTGACGCCATGAATTTTCGTTTTGGTATCTATGAAAATTAGGTTGCTAAAAGCATTTGGAAGGGGGATGAACATCCAGGTGCATATTACATCAAAGGACTTTTGGAGAGGTGCTAGCTTATATCCATGAGGTGCAAGCTCAGAAATCCTTATAGTCTCTTCTCACAATTCCCAAACATGTGTGAAGCAAAAACAAGATCTTGGCATAAAATTTAAATTAAGACCTATTTTTAAACACCTCTGTTAATTTAGATAGTTCACTAATCTTTATCTTCATTCCATTATAGGTACAAAGTGTATGTGTATATGTATGTGTAAACACATGTATTATACATAAGCATATGATAAGACACAGAGGTGATAATGTAGTGGAAATCAAAGTAAATGCTAAGTATTTCATTTTCAATCTTGGATTTTATGACACTGAAAGAAAGTGGCTTACGGCTTGGTGAAGCTGACACCGGAGAAGGGCATGTAGAGACCAGGTTTGCAGGATTATTTTTCTTTTCTTTCTTTTGAAGTGATCAGAGTACTGTGAAACTGATTAACTATATTAATGTTGCACAGTTATACCAAAAACTGATTATAAGCCTTAAAAGGTTGAATTCTATGGAATGTTAAACGGATCATGATGCATCTATGACTTTCATATTTAAAGTATTAATCCACACTTGCTATTTCTCAAATGCCTTGCAGCATATCTGTTGCAGTCCGTCTCTCTAAGCATCTCGTGGTTTCTCTGGCAGTCTCTACTATCTGAACATCAGTATTGCTTCACGTGCTTACCCTTACTCTCCAGCTCCGTGAAGCAGTAAATGCCTGAGTCACTGCAAGCAGTCCCTCAATTCTCAGCTGTTATCCATCATGTTTTGCTGTAACTAGTGCCTAGAATTAGAACCTAGGAGCTAACACGTTTTCCTCTGTTTTGTTTTGTTTTGTTTTGTTTTTCTAAAGACGAAGACAGGAGTTTGCTTGCTGCAGGATGGTAATCAAGAGCTTTTCAAAGTGCGCCTGCACCTCGCCAGAGACATCCTGATGCTGCAAGAGCAGGATGTGCTGTGCGTGTCTGGTGAGCCCTTCTATTCCGGTGTAAGTCGCTCTTCATTTGTTGACAATTCTGTTTGTTTCTTCTGATAATGAAAATGCTCGTTCATAGAAAACACTTAATATATTTTCTCTTACTTTCTGAACCTAGTCAGTGGTTCTGCCGGGAACTTTGTTTATCCTTCTCAAGGAGCTGTGTCCCTGTCTGGGGACATTTGCATCACATAACACACTTCAGAGCCCCTTTGGCCTTTTATACTGAGTTCTGGCTGCCACATAATGGAAAAAACACGTGCATTTTGTAAGAATGAAGGAACCCTGAACTTACTCAGAATGGGGCGTGGCAGTGTCCCTGCCCTGGTTTTGTAATGTGGGACCTTGTGCTTTAAGTTGAGATGCTAAAAATGCAGGTGAAACTCACATCCCACTCTCACTGAAGCAGGAGACATTACCATAGCACTTGTTGAGATCGATGTGAGTTATTTTCCCAAGACTCTACCTGAATGGCTCCATGGCTCTCCAAGACAGAATTACACATCAGCATTCAGCAACTCAGCATTCACTCTTCCAACAAATGTGTTGCCCTGCTGTGAAAAGAGCCACGGGAAAAGCCACAAATGAGATTTGAAAGTAATTGGCATACTTCTTAATACCACATCACAGCTGTGGAAGACATGGTTATATTTAACTTTACTTGCTAAAATATTATTCATGAAACAGGTCAAGTTCTACCCTTTCTTGTGTAATATCACTAAAAACATCATTCTAATAGTGTTGAAGTATGTGTTTAAAGTTTATTTATTTACTTATTATTTATTTATATTTTGTGTGTGTGTGTTTTGCTTACACATAGAGATGTGCACCTGTGTTGTGCTATGCCTATGGAAGCCAGAAGAGGGCATCGGAACCCCTTTAACTGAAGTGAGAGATGGTTGTTAGCTGCCCTGTGAATGCTGAGAATAGAACCCAGGTCATTTGCAGAATAACCAGTGCTTTGAACTGCTGAGCCATGTCTAGCCAAAAGATTAAGTTTTAGACCTTTTGTTTGATTTTGCTTTGTTTTGTTTTGAAACTGACTTGGAACTCGTAGGCCAGGATGTCCTCAGCCTCCCAAGTGCTAGGATTAAAAGCATGAACCACACCTGACCTGGTGTTGAAATATGTTGTCTCAGAAAAATATCATAGGAAGCATCCAGCATGCTGCTGTTTCCACCTGACACAACGCAGCTACTTAGTAGTTTAATCTGTGCTTTGCTGGCAGACCTCCCTCACAGGGTTTTGCCTATTGTGAAGAATGCTGACCTAGAGTTTTCACATCACCCCTCACTAACACCCTATGGAAGTCACACAAGGTCTGAAACCAATAGGACTTTTCTAAATGAAGATAATGGACATTTTGCAGACTATTAACTATTCCTTTGTCACAGACCATTTAAATCATCCTGAATCATGGGCTTGGATGTAAAGGCTGATTAAACTGCTCCCTTGAGGTTAGCCTTTCCTACCCTGGCCTAATAAGAGAAGGGTGCTTGGTTTCTTTTGCTTCCATTTCCAAACAAGAGGTATGATTCACTTAACTCTGGAATAAAAGCATTTCAAAGGTCCTAGATGAGTTTAAAAGAAAAGAATTAGCAAAATTCAGTACTGACAGTCTTAAATAATTGTGCTGATTTTAACTTTTGCAGTCAAAATGGCTAATACACATAGGCCTCTTTCTCTTTTGAAAGTAAATCACACATATAAACAAAGCACAGAATACTGGGAAAGACTCAGGTTAAAGAAGAAACATCTCATTCTAGTAAAGACCAAAAAAAGTGACAAAATTCATCACCCATTTATAAGACACACTTCTCCCAAGTTAAGAATGCTGCTTTTCTGATAAAGGCATGTATGAATATGTCCCATTAAGGATAGATAGTTAACAATGAACATTCATGTGACATTGAAATAGATCAGCATCCCTGAGCATCTAACTTCTACTCAATATTTCTCTGGATATACTTGCTGGACAAAATCCAGAAAGTAGATAGAGTATAAGCTTTATGAAAGGAGGAAAAACTGATTTATTTGCAGATTTTATGATTTAGTTCACAGAAAATCCTAAAAAGGCTGCAAGAGACAGACAACACACATATTTGAAAGATTTTGGCAAGAAAGAATACTATCACAAATAATTATATTTCTATAACTAGGAACAAGCAATTGAAAAATTAAAATATACTTTGTAATGTGTCAAAATGTAATGCACTTTGGAATGAATTTGACCTAAGATGCATATAGTATTTATCCTGAAAACTAAAATATGATGAATAAAACCAGTTGAAATAAAAACAAGTAAACATAAACAAAACAATGGTCATCATGAATTCAAGGTTAATAGTGTTTCAAATGCTCTAAAGCAGAAAAAGGCAGAATGTATTTTGTACATATAAGTGAATACAAAAGGTTTATGATAGTCACACTCATCCAAGCAGGGAGGAAATGTTGGAGTGTTCCTGATTTCAAAACTCATGATAAAATTCCCTTAATAGACAGATCGTAAGTTAGTCATAAATACAGGAGTGCGAATCAGTGGGACATGAAATCATGCTTTTCTGGTTAGTTGAACTTCTTACAATAAAATACACATAGTATAATGTAGTATAATGATATACACTTTTTAAAATTATTTATTTAATAACCATATAATTCACATATTCAATAACAATTTCCAGAGCTAAGATGCATCTCTTTCAAAATTGGCTGTAAATTTTTAGGTTTACAGTTGAATT